AGCTGTTGCTGGCTAACCTCCATATGCTGTTCCTGCAGAAGCTGACTCCTCGGGCATGTGAGGCTCAACCATCCACTTCTGCATAGCTTACTAGCAGTCCATATACCGAGTCTTGTAGCTTACAAGTTTTAGTGCAGTGTGCCCTACCAACCCTCTGTCACTGAAAAAAATCCCTTCAGCCACTTCCCATTTAACTAAGGTTGAATTAGAAGCTGAATGTGCTAGACACACAGCATTCCTACCCATTCTCCAATTCAGAAATGGCCAAACAGTTTTGTTTCTGAACTGTAGATAAATAAACCCTTAGCATGCAAATATATATTAAAGTTAAAAAAAGTTTCCAACTAGTAATGTGCTAATTCAGCTATAATTATGATATTCACTCAGTAATGTGAGGGTTTAATCCTGTCCTCATCTAAGCCAAAAGAGTAGATTCCGATGGCTTATTTCTTCTTATTCAGAGAAATTATTTCCCTGATGTCAATATAAAGCCACATGAAAAGTTTTTATGGCTGTATGGGTAGGCTATTTGATTATTTCACTATTCAGACACTACACATGGAGCTTAGAGCCTGATTTTCTCTCTTTGATTTTCATTACTGCTTAGTGGGCTCATCAGAGACCTGTTATTTTTTTCTCTTCTAGTACTTATTTATCAAAACTTTATGCTCTTTTTAATTTGTCTTACTAAAGACTATAGCTTGACATTGGGAAACTAGGAAAACACACTGCTGTTGTACAAACAATTTTCCCATGAATTTGTTGAAATTTTTTGCCCCCCTCCCCCAAATCTCATGACAGTGAGCTCCATTATTCATTTATGTTGTTACCTGCTTTACTCTATTTTAAGTTTCTGTCCAATAGCTCTTGTTATAAGAAAACGTACAGTCACTCCAGTTTTCTCCAGGCCATTCATGAGGTAACAGAACTCTACTACACGCATAGAAAGTCTCTTTCTTAAGCTGAGTTGTCGTTGTGTATTTAATTCTTCATTGAGATATTTTTCTGAATATTTGATCTGTATTCTGCCCTTTCTAGTATTTTTTTCTATGCAATAGTATAATTTTGGAAATGGAAGTTACAGTCCATAGGAGCAGCATAGATTTATAGTGAGGCATAACAATGCTGTCCCCCTTATTTTTTATTCCTTTCCTAACAAATCCTAACATAGTTTTATCTTTTGACTGATTTAGAATCAGTGACAGCCAAGATTTCCTTCTTGATTAATAGGAACTTCAGTATGTAAAGTTAAATTCTTTTTCCATATACTTTTCCTCATGTATAGTTTTCAATGCTGAACCCCTATCTGCTAGTGTGTCACTCAGCAGTCACTCACTCTGAGATTTTTCTGCAACTCCTTGGGTTTTGTTTTAGTTTCTTCCTCATAATGGTTGGCAATATGAGACTATTTTGCCATTTCTCTTTAGGCTCTTTTCTAGGTCATTCCTGGATATCCTGAGCAAGATGGGTCCCAGATTGGTCCTGTGGCAGCCTATTGGTAACACCCTCCACTGTGAAATGTTTTTGGTTTTTTCTTTCCTCTCTATCATCAGTTAGAGACCCATGTGAGGACCTCTCCTTTTATCTCAGGAACATTTAAATTCTTAAAGGTCAATTTGTGAAGAGCCTTGTTAATGTTGCTGTGCACTGTATGATACAGGCAAGTGTCATGCCTTTACAATATAAGTATTCAAAATGAAGTCTTACTGTCAAACTATTGAGAATTCAATTTTGTGTACATAGTCCATCAGACTATTAAAAGGGTAATTAAAAAAAGGATAAGACTAGGAGCCTAATATATACAGTTAAGAGAAGAAATGACACATTTTTACAGTTTGTTAAAACAGTTTACTAAGAAATTGTTGGGTCAAGAAAGTGTAGAAATAGGAAGCAGGAAAGACAAAAGATAGTGGAGGATAAAGGTGGATAAGGAAGCAAGCAAAAATCTAGTAACAAGCTGAGCAGAGAACAGTCTGGTATGGTGATTCAGTTAATTGTTCTACAGCCCTCAGACCAAGAACAGCAGGATATCCCTGCTGCCATACAAGACGGACAAATGCAATCCTATTTGAATGGGAGTCCTACCTCTTATAGACCACAGTGCTTTTTCTGTAGTATAGATACTTATTTCAAGATATGATTGATTAATTATTTATTTATGCTACATTCTAAATTCAAAAAGAGCTGAGTGTCTGGTGCACCTTTCTTCTTAGAAAACCCCAGTGGTCTGACATTGCTCATTTGAGAAGTTTCGATCTTTGTCAGTAAGGAAAATGTTTTTTCTTCAGAGAGTTTATAAGCAGAAGTTCATAGTTGCTGCCTTTACGATTAGGTAATTATATTTTTCTTTTGTAACTTTTTTTTATATAACCAGCAAAGCAGAAAATCTCTGCATATTCAAAGTATCATGTTAAATTGAAAGCAAACCAGTTATTGAGAAGTTGACACATAAAATAAATTGAACCTTTGAATGCTGGAAACATCTGGCTTCAAAAAGATACAACAGGGAATCATTTTAATGATAAGAACTGCTTATTTTTGAAGTCTCAGTTATTGTATTGGAATGGTTCGGTAACGTAATCATTCTATTTTTAATGAATATTTCTGCAAGGGTAGCCTTTCTTTAGAGGATAATACATAAAATCTTTTTTTTTTCTCAGGAAAAAGAAAAAAAAAAACAGAAAAAGTTGAGAAAAGGAGAGGATAATTTGCAAGGCTTCTACTATATAGTCTGTGAGGATGTAGCTGAAATTTAGACTGAAAGATTAACATTCACAAAACAAAGAGCAAACACATTATTTTACAATTACACTCAAAACTATTTGTTTAAAATTTCTACAAGTCCAAGGAGAAATTGGAAGTATATCACAACATGTGGCACAGGATGAAATACAGAGCTGACAGAAATTAGATGTTGTAATACATTGTTCTGACTTCATTAGAACTTGGACTGGTATCTGGTTTACAGCATAGAGTTTTGAATCTGCTCCTTTGATTTCCTGCATTTGACAAGTAAATCTGCCCATACAGCTTATTCCATTGGCTCAAATTATGATTTTTCAGGCACAGTTTCTTATCGAACACAAAGCACAGAACTTCAAAACCTTGAGGTGAAATAAATCCATGATCTTTACTCAATGACAGCACACAAGCAAGACAGAGACATCACAGTGGCCCTAGTGCAGGAGCTTCCACGTTGGAAGTTATTTCAGAGCAGCATGGGAACTTTTCTATGCTTATGCGCCTTGAGCTAGAGAATCTACAACCTAAATGTAGAAAGGGAATTAACAAGACAAACCAGAAGCAACTCTAGCAAATCAAGTATTTGCTCGTTATGAAAATTATTTAAGTCCCAAAGAATATACTAATGGACAGCAAATAATAGTTGTATACCTTTCATAATACAAAAGATAAAACTAACTTGTCTACCTATTTTTGACTCTGCACTAAACGTGCAACTGCAGAAAAAGTAAAGCAGATGATAAAATCTGTATCATAATGACTACATAGAGAAGAGCAAAAATAAAGCTGCACGGGCAATAGTAAAACTGACATGTTCTCAATGAGAATTTTTAATATTATGTGAGGGAGGGAAAGCTCAATGGTATTCATGGCACAAAGGACAAGGGTCATTTGTAGCCCACTGACTTTCTCCCTAGCAAGCAAGAAAAAATTACTGCAATCAGTGGAACAACCATGGAGATACTAAAACTCTTTTTTTAAAAGAAAGAAGATTGCAAAAATGCTTTAGAAAACAATCTAAATAAAAAGCTTTGATACTGATTTTTATGACTGCTATTTGGCTTTTGACTGAGGTAAAATTCAAACGAAAGATTTTACATTTTTTAGAAAATGACATACCAGTAAGAATATGTAGAAAGTATAATTTTTTTCATATTTCCTCTAGCTAAAACCCACAGAATTTAAACTCTGTTCCAGCATAAAGCAAACTATCACCTCCTTCATGAAAACTGAAAAACGAATTCCAATTGTTTGATTTTTTACACAATTTCTAGCCATCATCCTTTATGTGTTTCGCTGTACTCAAGAGCTGGTATATTTAGTCTATTTTCTAATGCAAACAACCAATGTGTGTATGTGCGTGCATACATACTTGCCTGCATAAAGCCATTAGCTAATTTTATTTGAATTATACCGAGGGGTAGAAATCTTAGGAATATTTATGTGTGTACAAGCTTCAGGAAAACAAAATTATGTAGCATTAACTCAGCCCGCATTAGACAAGAAAGAATATCATAACTACAGGAAAAACTTCAGTGGGATTTCCAACCACTTTTCAGTAAGACTATTTTGTATTTTAAAGTGTTTCTTTCAGCTAAGATACTTGCACAAACTCTAGTGAATTATCTAATGAAAAGTAATTAATGCTGCAGTGGATCATCACCTCATTTTTTAAAATCAGTTGAAAAGACAGTGACCTACACTGTCCTACGGATCCCAGACCCACTGGCTGACAGGTTTCAATAATTTTAGTACTCATGTAACTCCCTAGCTTTATGCGGGAGGGGGTGGGGGGGGTGTGGGAGGAAGGGGGGTAAAGGAGAGAATTGTAGGGCGTTCCATGGCACATTGGAAATCATGTGATGGAGCCCTTGAATTTCAGTTGTAATAAAGACGAGAAATGGAACATTGTCAGGTTCTCAAGGGGTCTGCCTGTGTCCAGGGCTTCCGTCGTGTGTGGGAGCCCTGACTGCTGACATGCTCTGCTCCCGTTCAGGAGCTATTGTAGAAACACGACTGTCATTCTGGTTTAGCGCTTTTGCAACTTCTGACAGGAAGTCAAGCGTTTCCTGAAACCATAAACCTCGGTGGAGCGGTAGCATTACCGTGACCTTCCTTGGAGCGCCTAGGCGGAGGGGAGGCAGAAAAAGGGACATGCCAGACCACGTCTAGGGTTTCTACCACGCCGATGCCGGCAGGGGAAAAGGGAGGGATACCGGGCGGGGCGGCGCGGGCAGGTAGCCGGGTAGAAGAGGCGGGACTGCCACTACGGCTCCTCCTCCCGCCTCAGGTTTGTCATCGTGTCGCTGGCACAGCCCGAAGGAGGAGGAGGAAGAAGAGGAAGAAGAGGAGGAAGAGGAGGAGGGATGAGGAAGCCGCCGCTGTTGCATCCGTGACGGGGGCCTAGAGAGCCCACGCTCGGGACTGCCCCTTTCCCACCGCCGGCGCACAGGCGCTGCTCGCCTGGGGGAAGGGCCAGAAGGAGGAGGACGGCGGCGGCGCTGTGTGTGTGTGAGAGCGTAGAGATGAGCTCAGCTCTGTGCCCTGGAGCCGCCTGAGGAGACCCGGCTCCTTCCCTCCCTCCCTCCTTGCCCGCCGCCATGACTCACTCCCCCGTGCAGACGGGGCTGCCGGGGATGCAGGTAAGGACCTGCCCCAAGGGCCGGCACGAACACGCACCCTGGGCAGGGGTGGGTGTGAAGAGGAGGTTCCCAGCGGTGGGGGGACAGGGCGAGGGAAGAAAGCGCCTCTTGGCTGTAGCTCGGCCCTGGGGACTGGGCTGGGGGCTGAGTAGCGGGATGGAGACGAAACGTGCTGTCAGCGCTTGGCATGATGCCCAGCGAGGTCCCTCCGCCCGGTGGATCCCTCCCTGCCTCCCTCCATCCCTGTCCTCAGCAGCCTCTGTGTCGCTGCAGGCGTGCAGAGCGGAGCGTGGTTTGTGTCCCCCTCCCCCCGGCCGGGAGTTTTCCTCGGTGTTTTAATTCCTCAAGCGAACCGCGGCTCGGTGGGCGATTTTCAGCCCCGTTATTTTGCGGTAAATAGGGGAAGCACACATGAAACCACTACGTAAGAGCAGGGCCTGGTAATGTTGACCTTCAGCGCATGCTGCAGTGCCCATCTCTGTGGTGCTGGGCTGAGGTGGGTGCTCGGGGATTGTGTTTGGCTCCTGTGTTTGACTGCAAGGGTTGGTTAGCTGCTTTTGTTATATGATGGAATTTGCTGGTTCTGTGTCGTAACTATATTTTTGAAAAAACTAGTGTGTTTTTCTGCTGACTGAGCTGGCTTCCCCCCCTCCCTGCCCTGTTTTTCTTAGTTTAAATGGAAACTGCTGCCAGCAAAACATTAAGGTCGTTATTATCTGTGTGTTGTTATACTAATGTTTCCGACATCTGATTAGAAACTTTCTGGTCCTAACCTCCAAAAGAACAACTTATGAATGACATGTTAGAGTTTTCCTCGATTTATCTCCTGGATTTGAAGTTTTTGTGCATCATTTGATTTAAGTATTGATTTACCCTGGTTTGTTTTTCTGTGAGTCAAGATTCTAAGTCATGAATCTCTTTTCTTTGCATAACAGGAGGATTTGAATTTAAAATGTTACATGCTTAGGCATAGTTTGATTTATATGCTCAGGGATAGCACCGGATGCCATATAGAGTACGTAGGCCCATGCTCTGAGCTGACTAATATTGCTCTGTAGGTCCTGCTTTTGAGTGTTCAAGTTCACCTTCCAAATATGAGAGTTTTCCAATTGCCAGAAACAGAGAAGTAAGGGTATCTTTATTTGGCTACAGTTAGGTTATTATTGGTGGGTTTGTTTTTTTTTTTCTTTTGAGACATGTTAGAACCAAGACAACTGTCTACTTTGGAACAGAATCCGTAATATTTTAGAATTAAAAAGTCAGATTTATAGCTGCTCAGAGGTGAGCAGCATGTACTTACTGCTGATGTGTGTCACTTCATGATCTCTCTAAGCACCTGTGTTTTTTATTGCCTTGATTTATTACTTAGTTTGTAGTACTGTTGGCTGTACTAAATAAGTATATATTCAGGGTTTTTGTAAGTCCATATAATTTGTGAGTTTACTTCAAATATCTTTTTATTCAGGACAGTGTTATTTTTCCATTACTTTTTTATTGTATTATTATAAGAGTTTCTCAAGTGTGAACTTCAACAGTGAAAAAGCCCACCCAAACACTAAAGACCTTCTGATAGGTAGAGGCATAAAGTCTATCAGTAATGTGAATACTGCTCACTGATTTTCTGACCAGTTGAAGATGTTTATATCCATTTACATTCCGACAGAATATATAGCAGTTTTATAGTGGTCTGTTTTCCGTACATGATTCTCTTTGATTTTACTTGTAGATAAATGTTCAAAGAGTAAAGTTCATACAATGTGTGACATGTACTTAAATAAGACAAAAGTTATGGTTTGGGACTTTTGATTATGTAGAAGAGAGAGGAATAGGGCTTAGTTCTCTGGGTTATAATTAAATTGCCTAAATCACGGGACTATCTTTTCTTTTCCTGTAGCGTGATCCCTCCTCCCCACCTACCAGCTTCTGCAACAAACGGAGTAAGCAGTGTCAGTGACAAGTTATGCAGCTTTCTCCAACATTTTTTGCTGTACTTATACAAGAGAGCACTCAGTATGCTAACGTGGACAGAGTAACTTCTTGGCCCCTAAAAAGTCACTTGGAGGGACAACACTTTATTAATGCTGTTTGGTGTGAGCACAATAGTGTGTAAATAGAGCAGAGAAATGAAGGATTAATATCTTTCTCTCTGAACAAGACATCTGATCAATGTTTGAAGAGTGATGCATAAAAAGTGAGTGGGTAGAGAGTGAGCCAAGGAATGAAAAACTGTGGAGGAAATGTAGGATGGTGCTGGAAAGTTGTCAAAACCTGAGATTTGCTGTCTGCTGCCAAGTGGGCATGTTGTAACCTGAATAAAAACAGAGTTGGGTTTTGACCTAAATTTCTATGTTGTGCAGGTTAAGTTTGAACTGAAAGTTTTTGCTGTCATTGGTTTAAGGGCTCTGTGTAGAGATAAAGTTTGAGCGTGCAGTGTGAAGCTGCCTGATTGCTAAACTGAGGATAGGTCGTCTTCCTTCTTCATGCTTTACAGAAAGTGGCCTCACGAGAGTGCTTATTTGTCTGTAAATGTGTGACATTCCTGCAAGGCTGGCTTCGAATAAGTGTACATGACCTTGATTTTCAGACTGGCCTGCATTTCAAGGCTGTGATAAGCTTTTATAGCTTCTTTATGAAAGCTATATTTAAATAATCAAGTATTGTGTTTATAAAATTATGGTAATAAATTCCTGGGGTGCTTTTAAAGTTCTGTCATTTCTAAGACAAGCCTCTTCTGTGTGATAAACCCTTTTTTTATCTTTCAGTTTTTTTGGTAGCAATAACAGTGTTTATGCAGTAAGTTATTTTTATTCACTCTTCATTGTATTTTCAGTACAAGTGCTACAGGTTCTTCATGCAAAATATAAATAAGCATTGACATTCAAGCTGTCTTGCTTCAAGAAATGTTAAAAGTTTAACTAAATTTAAGTGGGAACTTGACAAATGAACAAAAAAGAAAGGTTGTTAAGTGTAAAGGCACCATTTCTGGCTCAGAAAGTGTCTGAAGTGTCAGTTTGCTGGAGATTGGAAGAGTTTTGGGAAATATGGCTGTATACTTGTCTGTTTTTGCACTGTTCCCAGGATGTTCACTTTTGACTGCTCTAGGAGAAATGTTTTGGCCTAGAGGATCCTTTGTTCTGATCTGACGTGGCTGTTCTTTTGTACTTCCACACTGTAGGTATTACTGTCCTTCTTGTTATAACTCATTCTCCCTTTACAATAAACTGTTTTAACTAATTCCCGTGTGAGCTCTGTGTTTGGGAATTACAGAATATTAGGTTGCTAAATCAAAGGCACTGGAAAGTCCACGTAGCTTCTGCTGCTTTTCATTTGCAGCTTCTGGAGGAGAAGATTAGTTTTGGAGATGAGTTTTCCCAAATTTGATTTTTTTTCTTTTCTTTTTTTTTTTTTTTTTTAAAGCTTGTCCTCACTGTTACTGTTTAGATTATAGTTTGATAAATAGTTTGCACTAACTTAGAGCACTTAAATATTTGACAGATCCTTGGTCTGTATGATCTTGGCTAATCAGTTTTAAAATATCCTGAGGATAGATGTCATGGTTCTGTGACATAATACAAGCTCAACCCTTGGGTACCAGGGCACAAGAGTTCTAAACTGTGAAAATGAAGGGGGCATCTTCTCACTGTATAGTCAAAGGCTGTGTCAGGGCTATGCAATAGATGTATGGAGCTGTTTGAGAGAAGTCAACTCTTGTTGACAGTGGAACTAATGATACTGGGAAGTCATGTATAACAACTTCTACTGAATATGTGGATACTAAGCTTTTCCTCAAACATGCCCAAAATCTTGCTATTAAGCATGTGTGGAGGAGTGAGAGTTGGTTTCCTTTGGGCATTGTAGCAGGGAGAGTTCGTAAGGATGCTGAGATTGAAACCAAAACACCGTTGAAAGCTCAAAACCCAATATTTATTACAAAGAAGTGGCCAAGTAAACGGGATCCCAATAGAAAGAGAAAAATGAGGGAAATAAGCCCTGAATACAACACCCTACTCACTCAGGTGTCACTTACGAGGTTATCTTACCAACTCTGAATGCCAAGAATCCTTCGTAGCAGCTGCGTTCTTGGAGGGTCAGCAGGCTCGCACATAGCGGGCGTCCCTGCAGAAGGCAACGTGGTCCTTCGTGTGAAGTGTAAGTCCCCCCCCGAGCACAAACCATCCGCTTTTTTATCCAGTTAATTGGTGACATCTACCTGGGCAGGTGTGGTCAGCACCACCCAGCTAGAGGCCTTCAGTCCCTCCCAATGTTATTTAAGCGGTGTCTCTTCTGCACATGCGTGTGTACTTTGGAATTCCCCCTGCGCTTGCGCGCTATACCTCAGGGGATCTTTTCGAAATGAGTCTGGGGGTGTACTTCATCACCCTCCTCTTCACTTTCTCCTTCAAATGCCCTTGGAAGGCGATCAGCCAATAATAAGACACCAATTAATTGTAGTTTGTACAAAACTTTTCCTTCAAGGACGAAGTTCCCATTTATCAGTGCTTGTTTTCTCATAACTTGGTAGGAAAAAGACTGAAAGTATCAACATCTAATTAACCCCTGATACAGGCATAGTACAAGTGACTTCTTGGTGGTGTGCTTTGCCTAACTTCCTAGGAAGTTGTTGTTGCAGGGGCAAGCTTCAGTTTGGAAAATGTTGTTAAATCCTTGTGCCGTTAACTCAGACTGTACAGTTAAAATTACTGCAGTTCTATTTTATCAGTCCTTAAGTCTCTTTGTTCTTTCTTTCTGTTGCCTTTGCAGGTACTTTTCTTTTAGGTGGAAAATAACTGGTAATTAACTGTAAGGTATAGACCGCTATGTCTTTGGGGAACAGTTTGAGCTACTTAGTTTTTTTATGTTGAATTCATCACTTCCTGAATATCTGAGGCATTTATTAGGACAGCTTTATGGAATAAGGATTGACAATAGCGAATCCTTATTTTTATGAATCTCAGTGTTTCAGCCATTCTGTGATTTTGATGCGATACACTTTAAACATG